TAACACAGTTAGTTCGAGCCCTGTGTCGGGCTCCACACCATCAGCCTGCTTGGGATTCTCTCTCTCTCTCTCTCTCTCTCTCTCTCTCTGTCCCTCTCCTGCTTGAGCACTCATGCTCTGTCTCTTACAAAATAAATAAGTAACCTTAAAAAAAGTTAAAAGGATAAACTGAACTGTTAAAGTTTCCAGTCTGGCTTGTAAGGAGCTAGCAAATTACCCCTAGGTCCTAACAAATAAAAAGCCAAATAAACTGAAAAATCAACATTTCTTACATCTATCAGAGGAGTGAGGTCACTGCTTCAAATACACGAGAGAGAGACAGGCTGTCGCAGTCATGACTTGTCGGGGCAGAAATCTCCACTGGGGCAGGAAACCCTCAACAGTGACACAAAGTCGGAGGCTCAGTGGGACGAGGCTGAATAGAAAACTCGAGCAGCCACACTAGTGTGAATCTTACATCCTGGAGTTCTCTCAGGTTTTCCTAGTGAAGACTGAAGAAAAATCTTCCAACAGGGGAAGGCAAAAGTGGCCATTTGTAAATGCCAGAGCGGGATCATATTATTTAAACGCAGACATGGAGTCATCATAAATATGTATTGCAAACTCTAGGGCAACCACACACACACACACACAAAAGTGATATTGATATGCTAAGAAAGAAGAGAAAAAGGAATCATATAAAATGCTCTATTAAAATCCCAAACGGCAGAAAAGGAATAGAAGACAGAAACGCCAAGGCAATGAATAGAAAACAGTAACAAATAATGGTAGATGTGAATACAACTGTACCAATAATCACTCTAAATGTTAATGGTCTAAACGTACAAATTATGTGACAGAGATTATCATAGTGAATCAAAAAACAAGACCCAACTACATGCTGTCTAGAAGAAACTTTAAAGACACGTATAAATTAAATGTAAAGGCATGGTTGCTATGAGAGTAAAACTTTAATATTCTCGCCAGAGAATGGTAATTACATGAGGCAAAGGAAGTATTCGTTAATCTTACTTACATGCAGCGAATAATTATGCTGTACACCTTCAACTTAGGCAATGTTATACGCAATTAGATCTCAATAAAGCTGGAGGGAAAAAAAAGTAAAGGGATGCAGAAAGATATCCGATGCTAACACTAATCAAAAGAAGGTGGGATAGGGGCACCTGGGGGGCTCAGTCGGCTAGGCATGTGACTCTCAATTTCAGCTCAGGTCGTGATCTCACCGTTTTTGAGTGCGAGCTCAGCACAGGGCTCCATGCTGACAGTGCAGCGTCTGCTCGGGATTCTCGGTCTCTTCTTCACTCTCTGCCCTTCCCCTGCTGGCACACTCTCTCTCAAAATAATAAACATTAAAAATAGAAAGTTGGAGAAGTTATATTAATTTCAGACCAAGCACACTTCAAAGTGAGAGAGATTATCAGGGATAGGAGGAGCACTGCATAATGATAAAAGGCCAAGCCTCCGAGAAGACACAACGATCCTAAATGTGTATGCGCCTAACAGAGCGTCAAAATGTGAGGTAGTAATTGGCAGAACTGCAAGGAGAAATAAATGAATCCGCCATTAGACTTGGCGACCTCAACAACTCTGTGACAGAAATGGACACACACAGCAGATGGAAAATCAGTAAGGACACAGCTGAACTCAACAACACCATCAATCATCGCTTCTCGGCCTTTTGGCTGAG